GGATGTAGTATTCCCCATGATAAGAATGGTAATCATCTCCATGGTGGAATCTACTATGAGCAGCTGAGTAGCTTAGGGCTGTAGGCTGCTTCCTGTATATTAGGAGAAGCTTTGCGGAATGGTCTCTAGCTTATGGCATGCTTGAACCCTGCATGTAGCTGAGTCATTGTTTAGCAGCCTGCCATGCTTTGCCAATCTTGGGACTTTTAGTGGACTTGAATTAATGGCCTGCCATGTGGTTTGGTAATATCGGGATTGTGCCTTATTACCTTGGGCTTGTCAGCCTCAGCAGCCAGCAGCTGAGTGAAGTAAAGCTTCCAGCTTCGATGGGCCAGGAGCTGGAGGCAGAGCTGGAGCCCAAGATTGAGGGGCTTTCACCCAGCCCCTAGAGCTGGGCACTTTGAACTCGGACTTAAAGCCTCCAAACTGTAAGAGAAAAAAACTCTTGTTTCTTCAAGCCATCCCATTTGTGGTATATTCTTGTCAGAGTGGCACTAGGTAACCAGAACAGCCTCTGGCGTCAGTTTTTCCTTCTGCTTTTGACAGCAGGCAAAGAAAGCATAACATAGGGCAGTGACGTGTGTGTGTATATAGTTATTGTCGTTCAGTCTACTCTGACTCATAATGACCCTACAGGACAGAGTAGAACTGCCTCACAAGGTTTCCAAGGCTGAAATCATTCCTGTGGAGCGGGTGGTAGGTTCGATTTTGCTTAGCAGCCAAATGCTTAACTCCTGCACAACAAAGGCTCCTCTGGTGTTCCTATGTTGTTGTTGTTGTGTGCCATGGAGTCCAACCTGAATCATAGTGACCCCTCCTTGGGTTTCCGAGGCAGTATCACTATGGTAGTAGATTGCCCAACCTTCCTTCCGAGGAGTGGCTGGTGGGTTTGAACCGCCAGCCTTCTGGTTAGCAGTCAAGTGCTTTAAGCACTACACTACCAGAGCTCTTAGTGTTCCTATAGTAAGAATAAAAAGTAATAACAATAAAACAGATACCTTTATAGAGCTCATGTGCTAGGTGCTATAGTACTTTGCATGTATTAGCTTATATAATTCTTATAGAAACCTAATAAAGTAGATACTGTTTGATCCTTATTTTATACAGGAGGAAACAGACATCCAGACACTCAGTGAGTAAGTAACTTGCCACATTCATGTTGCTGACAGGGAGCACAGTTAGGATTTGAAATTGTACAGTCTGTTTTCAGAGTAACTTGATATCTTCTCTACGAGAGAATATCAGGACTTCAGGGCTCATCTGCCTTGAAGCCTCTTGGAATTTGTGTTTCCCAATGAGGGTTTTTTTTTTTTTTTTTTAAATCTGAGTAAGATATGTGAATTCGAAACTTGTAACCAGAAGGCTGGCGGTTCAAACTCACCAGCCACTCCTCGGAAGGAA